CTCCCCCCCATTTTGTTTCCATCCCCAATTTCTTCCGGTTTTCCCCCTCCCCCTTTTTGCCCCCTGTCCCCCCAATTTCCACCCCACCAACTCCTCCCCATTCTGTCCCTTTCCCCCCTTATTTTACCCCATTTCCCCCCATTTTGCCCCAAAACTTTTTACCACCATCTGTACCCCCACCAACAATAGACACTCCCCCCACCTCAATCAGCCCTAACGAGCTCAACACCCATTAAAAACCCCTAAAACCCCTCAAAATGCACCTGAGGAGGACATTTAAGGTGAAAAAGATAAGATTCATGTACATATTTGTAGTGAAAAGTGAAAGGATCCAAAGTGCTGTGAAGGTGGAGCTGAGATCTGTGCTTCCGAAGGGATAAAGTCTGCTTTCAGACACTTAAATCTGTGTTAAAACGAAGGAATCTGGTTAAAATGAAGGAATTTCTTTTAAAAAATAAAGATGTATTAATGCTGAAATCTGGGTATTTTCATATTAGGAGGGGATGTCAACCTCGGAGGGGTCCAAAGGGCTCTGATAGATGCCATCTGTTGGGTGCAGGAGCTGAAATAAAAGCGAAAAAGGGGTAAATAAAGCACTTAAATTTGGTTTTACTGGTTGAGATGGAGATAAGGAAATGTAATTATTGAGACTGAAGGAGCAAAGCAGTAAACGAGTAAAAGCCAATGCAACGAGGTGAAATAATAACCAATAAAGGGCCCATTATTGGGGTTGAAGTGCTGAAAAGTTTTCTCCATCATGGGAGGGGAAGTTCCTTCATTTGTGACCATAAAAAGGGGAAAATAATAAAAAATCTGCAAGTTTCCTCGTTTTTCTACTCAAATAAATGAGGAGGTGCCCACTGCCCTCATGAAAGCAGGCGGAAAGAGTGAAAAATGCACCAAAAGCTGAGAAAAAAAGAGAGGAAATGAGCATTTGTGGTCCTTATCCCAGAGCAGTGCTGAGGGGCCCTCGCTGGTCGCTGGAGGGAGGATTTTCCTGAGAGAAAATGGGGGAAAAGAGATTATTTGCAGATAATTTTACATTTTCTGAAAGAAAATGGGGGAAAAAAGGGTTATATTCTCATATTTTATGGTTTTTGATAGGAAATAGGGGAAAAAAGCATTATTTCCACATCATTTACAGTTTCTGGCAGAAAATGAAACAAAGAAAGTGTTATTTCCCCACAACTGATGACTTCTGACAGAAAATGAGAGGAAAAAAAGCATTATTTCCACAAAATTCACATTACCTGACTGAAAAAGAGAGAAAACTGCAGCGTTATTTCTTCCCCCTCACAGAGCAGTACCGTTTTTCACCCTTTTCACCCCAAAATCCCGCTCAAAAACACCACAAAAAGGCTCTAAACGACTCTTTCCATCCCCAAAAGGGCACTCAGGGAACTTTACCTCGTGACGCCCCATTTCTTCCCTCAGAAAACGGAGAAAAAAACAATTTTCCTCAGAGCAGCACACAACCCCCCAGCCGCCCTTCCCGCCTTTTTCCCTCCCCCGCCCTCCTCCTCAGCGCGATGGGCGGGACGAAAGTTAGCCCCGCCCCCTCAGTGAGCACCACCTTCTATTGGCCGCTTGCCCGCCCCACCGACCAATCAAAAGCGCGAAAAGGTGAAGCCACCTGCTCTACCCCTCTGCTTCACGCTTTGCAGTCTGTCAAACGTGTGAAGGCGGGACGTGAGGGTGGTGACAACCAATCAAAAGCAAGAGGGAAAGAGAAGGCATTTCTGATAGGCTGAGCTCCGCGCGGGCGGGCCAATCAGAGCGAGACACGGGACTCTTGCCATTGCCGCCCCTTCGTGCGAGGCAGTTCGGACCGTACCAAGTGCGGGAACGGAGCGGGGGGGAACCGTTGGATTTGTGGGGGGAGTGAGGAGCTTTTACCGCCGTAACACTGCAGAGGGAAACAGTGGAGATATTCACGTAGAGAAAAATGGGGAGGGAGGAGTTGTCTGGGGGGGGAACGGAGAGAGGAAGTGAAAATTTGGGTTCCCCCGCATTAAAAGGCGAAGTGGTGCGGCCCAACCGGAAGTGCGGTGTCGCGCTCCGAGGGACTTCCGGGGACGGAGGAGCGGCCCTGAAGGAGGGCGCGCAGCGGTGGAGGGGCGGGACGGAGGAATTTGGGTCTGGGGGATGCGGTGCTGAGGGTCGCTTGGGGGGGGCGGTCCTGAGGGTCTGAAGGGGTGGGGGGGGTTGGGGCTGAGGAAAGGGAAGGGGTGCATTTGGGGGTCCGTAGTTCAGCCCCCTCCCCTTTTTTGCCCCACCTTTGCCCCACTTCTGCCCTTTTTTGCCCCCCAGCCCCATTTTTTGTCTCGTTTGATACTGAAGCGCCCTGACCTCGTTCACTGTGTCCTTCTGAGTTTCCTTCCCCCCCCCTTTTGCCCCATAACCCCATTTTTGCCTCATTCTGGCACCATTTGGATCCAGTTTGCCCCCATGTCTCCATTACCATCCTCGTTTTGCCCCTCTCGCCCCGTTCCCCCCCCCCTTTTTGCCCCATAACCCCATTTTCTGTCTCATTCCCACATTCTCACCCCCATTCTTGTGCAGCTCAGCCCCTAACGATGCTTTCCCCCCTCTTTTGCCCCCGTTTCCCCCAATTTGAGGTCCTTTGGCCCTGGCTCTGACACTTGGCCATGCTTTCTCCCCGCAGCTCCTCCACTCCCCTCCTGTGTGCTGCAGGAGATGGCGGTGAGCACATGGGGGGGGGCCTGTGGTGGGAGGAGGAGGCAGTATTATGGGATGTAGGCCCTGTCAGGAGCTCAGCTCCACGGGGGCATTATGGATTTGAGGGGTTTGTTTAAGCTTTGGGGACCTGAATTCAATGGGAAAGAGGCAATAATAGTGAATTCTGCGTTTATTTACCTCTGAGGAGTTAAATTTCATAGGGGTGGGGTGATGTGATGGGTTTTAAGGGTTTATTCCATCTGCAAGGACCTTAATTTTATGGGAGTGAGATAACGTAACTGGGTGTATGGGTCTAATCCACCTGCAAGGACCTGAATCCTATGGGAGTGGGGTGATGTAATTGGGTTTAAGGCTTTATTCCACCTGCAAGGATCTAAATCCTATGGGGATATGACAGCACAACTGGGTTTTAGGGTTTATTTCACCAGTAAGGACCTGAATCCAATGGGAATGAGGCAAGAATACTGAATTTCAAGGCATTTTTCACCAATTTAGGGCTGGGTTCCAGCAGGACAGAACAATACAATGGGATTTTAAGGGCTTTCTCTCTCCTCTAAGTGCTCTGAGGGCCCCAGTTGGGGTCCCCACATCCCCCCCACCTCCCTCTCTCCCCCACAGAGCCTGACAGACCGCCTGTGGTTCATTTTTTGGGAGAGCAGCCTGGCCTTCCTCTCCTTCCTAACCAACCTGCACTCTGCTTTCGTGATTGAGCTCGTCCTGCTCTCCTTCCTCAAATGCCTTCACTGTGTGGTTGAAAACTACGTGGGCTTTGTGAGTGCTCAGCCCTAGCCCCCCCCCCCCCAAAAAAAAACCAAAAATGTTCATTTGGGGGCCAGACTCACCCTCTATCCCCATTTCTTACAGACGGAGAAAAGATATTCCAGACCTTCCTACCCAAAGTTCTTCCATTTCTGCTTCATCTGTGAGTCAAAGCTTCGGGTGCCCCATCCCACAATAAGCATCAGGGCCGCATCCTTCCCCTTGCAGCGTGGGTTTGGGGTTTGTTGTGCACCCCCAGCTGGTTGGGAGAGATAATTTGGGGCTGAATTTGCATGGGGCAGCCAAGCGTGGGGCTGGCGGGGCTGATGAGCTCGTGGGTTTGTTATTCTAATGAGCGCTCGGTGCTTAATTAGCGGGGCTGTACAGGGATGTGTTGGTAGGGGGTTAACGAGCTTTGGGGGCTGAATGTGACCCCAAATTCAGCGCTGGGGAGTGTGAGTGGATTTTAAGGGTGTCTTTCACCTCTAGGAGTCTGAGCTATACGAGGATGGGGCAACGCTGTGGATTTTAAGGGCTCTTTCTACCTCTTAGGGGCTACAAGAGAAATGGGGCAAAATCTCTGGATTTTAGGGCTTTTTCCCACCTCTTTGGGGCTCTGTCCAATGGGGTTGGGGAGCCTTTCCATTTGCAGGTTTCCCCCCTTTCTCTTTCAGCCTCCCTGCTCTTGCTGATGGTGGTCAGTGGGTTCCTGACCATGCTCCACGACTCCCTCAGCGACTACGCTCCCTTCCATCTCTTCTTTTTCTTCGAGGTACCGCCTTTCTCCTCCTCCTGCAGGGGGCAGAATCCCCCATGGGACAGACAGACAGACAGTCTGTGTGTCTCCCTCCTCTCCCCAGCACTTCATCCTGTCGGTTTCGGTGATCACCACCACGAACAGTTACTTGCAGTGCTACCAGGACAACTTCAGAGTCCTGCAGGAGAACAAACACATCTGCTTGCTGTTCTCCTTCTTGGACAGTACGAGGCCTTGTTTTCCTCTTTTTTCAACCCATTTTGGGCTCCTGGGGGGTCGCTGTGGCCACTCGGTGCGTCGCCATTGAGGTCGGCGAAGGCTCCATACAATGGTTGGGAGGTGGAAGGAGGGGTTAGAAAGAGGTGTTGGGGGTTCAGAACGTCTCAGCTTTGGGGATTTGGGTTTTACTTGAGCTCAGAGCGGAGGGTTTGGGGATTTGGTTGACCCCAGTGCTGAGGATTTGGGGTTTAGTTGGGGTTTGTTCAACCTCAGCGCTCAGGATTTGGGTTTTCTCCATTTCCAACCCTCAGGATTCAGCCTTTGAACAACCCCAGCACTCAGGATTTGGGTTTAGTTGGGTTTTATTCAAACCCAGCACTCAGAATTGGGGGTTTAATTGGGGTTTGTTCAACCCCAGCACTCAGAATTATGGGTTTGGTTGCCCATGACCCAACTTCTCCCATTCTCATCTCAGAAAAGGACATTTTGAGCCCCTCCGAGCTCCCATTCCACGCCAAGAACGGCACCCAACGTGGTTTTTTCCCCCCCAGGTCTCATGAGGCTCCTTTTCTACGTGGTATTCATAGTCGAAATGATTGGAGTCCGCACCTTCCCCCTCTTTGCTGCCCACCCCACATACCTGGCCATGAAGTAAGTTCCTTTTGGGACCTCATTTTCCTCTAATTTTTCCCAAATTTGGGTTCTTAGGGGGTCACTGTGACCAATCACAGCTCAATGTGTCACCACTGAGGTTGCTTAGCGCTCCGTTGGTGGCCAACGCGACGGTTGGGAGGTGGAAAGATGGCTCGAGTTGTTTGGGGTTCAGAAAGTCACAACTTCTGGGGTTTGTTGGTTTTGGGGGCTGTTTCTGCCACATTCACCACCCCCACGGCCCCGTGTTTCCTTCCAGGAACGTCAGGAAAGCAGCAGTGGATCTCTTCACATCGTGTTTCGCCAGTCTCAATGGGAGCACGCTGTGAGTTGTGCCATAAGCGCTCCTTCCTCCCCGTTTTTGGGGTCTTGGAGGTGACATCTCTGCTTTTCAGGTGGGATCCGCCTCAGAATAAAGCAAAACTGGGGGGAAAGTGGCTCATTTTGCCCCCCCCCAAAGGGGGTTGGGAAGACCCTGTGAGTGGGGGGAAAGGATTGTGGATACCCCTAAATCTAACCAGAAGTTTGAGTTGAGCCAAAACAAAATTAGGGGTTCCAGATTCAGGTGTCTTTGTTGGTTTGTGCTGAGAGGTGGGATCCAACTTCAGACAAGTTGAAGCAAAATCCGAGGGAAATGGCTCATTTGTGCCCCCCAAAAATGGGCTGGGAAGAGCTTGTAGGTAGAGAAGATGATGATGGATGTCTTGAAATGTAATTAAAACTTTAATTAGTTATAAAAATGATGGATTGTGGCGAGGAGGAAATACCTGTTGACTTTGTTGGTTTCTTTTGAGGAGTGAGATCTGCCTTGAGGTGAGTGGAACCAGATTTGGGGGAAATGGTTCATTTCTGTCCCAAAAAATGGATTGGGAAGACCTTAAGGGTAGAGAAGAAGGTTCTGGGGATCCTCAAACCTGTCTGAAGCAAAACTGGGGGGGGGGATGGTTCATTTTTGCCTCAAAAATGGGCTGGGAAGTCTTAATAGATAGAGAAGGCGGCTCTGGTTATCCTTAAACCTGACTGACGATGTATTTGAACAAAAAAATGATGGGTAAGAGGGAGGATGGAGAGCCTCGGGGCCGTCCTCATTGCCCCCATGGGAGGTGGGGGGGATTTTGCCCCATAATTCCATCCCACACAGCCTCCCCGGTGCCACCCTGGAGGAGCTGCCGGCCGAGGACAACGGCTGCGTCATCTGCCGCGAGGAGATGGGGACGGAGGTGACGGCTCTGCCGTGCTGCCACGTCTTCCACACCAGGTTTGGGGTGAAATCACACCATTTTGGGGTCGCCGTTGGGGTTATCCAGAGGGGAGAGATTATGGATTGTCTGTTTTTCCCCATAGCTGCCTGCGGTCCTGGTTCCAGCGCCAGTGGACGTGTCCCATGTGTCGGATGCCCGTTCCGCGTGTGTCCTACCCTGAGCTGATGCCCCTCGACCCTCCAGTGCAACCTCCTGACCCTCCATCACGGCCCTCGACGCCACCGCAGACCTCTCCGGATCCTGAGCCCCAAGAGTGTGAGCACCTGAAAACCCCCTCCAAAAAAATGATTGTTTTCTTTCAGTGTGTGCCAAAATCATGTTTGTTCGTTTTTTTTGTTCCACCCCCCCCAACTTCTTCAGCCTTTGAACTGTGAGCATCCAAACCCCCCTAAAACACCCCAAAAATACCACAGAGGTTTTCTCACAGCTGCTCCCAAAATGTTGGGTCACCATCCTTTTCCTTAAGCCTCAATGGGGAGCATCTGAATGCCATGGAACTGTAGATTTCCTTTCAAGGTGTCCCAAAACAGTGGGATTTTCACCCATATTCAGGCTGAGCACCTCCAGGGGTTGCCTGTTGTTGGGTGTGGGATTTCCGCCAGCTGTAGGATGGGGGCTCTGAGGGGGACGATGGGCTCCCTTGGGGCTCTGATCTCTCAGCTTTGCAGTTCCATCATGCTCCAGATTTGAGGATTTCTTTAAGAAAAGTAGATCCTTAGGATCATGGATGGGAACCCCCCCCCCTCCAATGCCTGTAGCCGACGCTCCTTTGGATGTTAATGATTACCATCCCTCTGCCGTCCTTCTCAGGGTATCCCTCTGAGGAAGAGGAGGAAGAGGAGGAAGAGGAGGAAGAGGAGGAGGAAGAAGAGCAGCCATCAGCCCAAATTCTGAGCCAGGAAATCATTCAGCACTACCAGGAATGTTTCACCCGCACTGAGCACGAGAAGATCACCGCGTGGCTGCTGCGCTGCTGGGACAACGATGCCAATTCTGTTCAGTTGGAAGGCAGGTATCTCCGCCTGTTGGGACCTCTCTGCAATCAGTTGGCTGTGGACAGCATGATCTGCAGGGGGGAAGACCAAACGCTCACCCTCTGGAAGCGAATGCTGGGCGCCGTCAGGCAGTGCTACCAGGGGTACATAATGCCCCGCTTGCGCTCCTGGTTCACCTTGGATGAGGCCATCCAGTACCTGCGGGAGCTGGCTGTGGCGGAGATGCTGTACGACGAATCCTTCAACCCCGAGGACCCTGATGCAGACAGCTGCCCCGACGCCTTCAAATGCACGCCCATGATGTGGTTGTATCTCACCACGAGCGCGCCACCCGAATTCATCAGCACGGTGACGGCCGTGAAGTGCATGTGCCACAACGCGGTCCCAGTGAGGCTCCTGGCTTCTTTCCTCCAAGAGTACGATAAAAACGTCACGTCTGCTCAGAGGGAGTGCTTCTCTCTGGTGCGGGAATTGGCTGAAGAAGTGAAAAAACTGTCCAGGGAGGTCCAGCAGCTTAAAAAGGCCAAGCTTTGCTCCTCGTCTGCGCCGACCGACGAGTTGGCTGTGCGGGATGTCCAAGATGGACATCCTTCCAGCTCTGCTCTAGCGCTGGTTGAAGACGGCTGCGTGCCGCGCCTCACCTTCTGGTTTTACCTGCGTGATCACGGGGAGAACATGAAGAAGTGGGATGGGAAACCCACCTCAGCCCTGCAGAGAAGGGTGGAAGAGCTGCTGAGGAGGTCTGGCCGCCCCGAGGGCTCTTCCAGGAGGAGGGCTGCTGCCAGGCGCCGCGATGCCTGCGCTTTTCCATAGGTATTCCATGTGGAGTGGCGGGGTGGAGTCGGGGTTCCCAAAGTGCTCCGTTGGGTTTGTTGGAGATATCTAAATGGTTTATCAGGATGGTATCTCTGATGAAGAAGATTTTATTTGCCATTGCAATGGTGGGCCTCCTGCAAGCGGGAGAGCGTGCAGAAAACAATCTTACATCTTTTATTCCCTATTACTCGACGCTTCTCTCTTTCTGCCCTGTTTCCTCATTGGCTGAGTGCTTCAGGATCACAATCTTCCCGATGCTCAACTAAGCAGGGATACTGAATAAACATTAGTTGCTACCTAAGCATATATCACAAATTAGTTAATTTCTCACGTTTGCTCATTCAGCACTCGGTCACTGTTTCTGCACGTCTGCTTGTCGTGGCAATAGAGATAAGCTTGGAAGGAGGATAGGGGAAGGATCTTCATGCCTGCCTGTTGCATCCCAACCTGCCCACAGAGCGAGGCAATCCAGCCTTGTGTAGAGGCCCTTAGCTCTACAGTGTGCTTTCTGGTCCTTAAAACTGTACCTACGTTATTTGGAACATTTAAAAACTATTGCAGTTTTGCAACCCTGGAATTAATCACGTAATTCAGCAACTCTATTTCTAAGGTATGTTACTAACGTAGACGGTATTTCTACTTTTTCATATCAGTTCTTTGTAAGGACAAGTTACAAAATACAAACAAAATACAAAAAAAAGAATGGCGCTCTGCTTCTTCAGATCAATTCCCCCTTTTTAACATCTAATACAGAAACGGTGTTCCATTCCTACAGGTTCCAGGAGGAGATGAGGAGGGGGGTGATGAGGAGGGGGACGATGACAAGTTCCCCCTGTGCTCGGTGTTGTGCCCTGAGATGCTTCTCTTCTGCTTTCTGATGGGCCACAAGTTCCTTTCTGCTCAGTAAACCAGCTGCTTTCTCTCCCACAGGAGCCCTCAGCCCTCCATGGGGGGAGGCAGGAGGGAAGGGAGGACCCCCCCGTTGCAGGATCCCTCCATAGAATGCTTTTCTGTAGAAAATGAGGAAAAGCTGTTTTATTTCCCCTCACGTTACGTTTCCTGACAGAAACTGAGGAAAAGAGGCGTTATTTCCTTTTGCTTTATGCTTCCTGGCAGAAAACGAGAAGAAATGGTTCTGTTTCCTGATAGAAAATGAGGAAAAGTGCATTTATTTCCCGTGGTGTTCCATTTTCTGACAGGAAACGAGGAACGGCTCCAATTCCCCCTCACAGTTTCCCCCAATGGCGCCTCCAACGCTCTTCCCGCCTTTTTTTCCCGCCCCCCACCTCAGCGAGATTTAGCCCCACCCCCTCCGCGGGCACCGCCTTCCATTGTCCGCCCTCCCCGCTGTCCAATCAAAAGCGAGAAAAAGTGAAGCCACCTGCTGTACCCCTCCGCTTCACGCTTTGCTGTCTGTCGAAAACCTGAAGGCGGAACTTGAGGGTGGTGACAACCAATCAGAACAGCGAGGGAGTGAAAAGCTGTTGCTGATAGGGTGAGCTCCGCGCAGGCGGACCAATCAGAGCGAGACACGGGACTCTTGCCGTTGCCGCCCCTTTGTGCGAGGCAGTTCGGACCGTACCAAGTGCGGGAACGGAGCTGGGGGGAACAGTTGGATTTGTGGGGGGAGTGAGGAGCTTTTACCGCCGTAACACTGCAGAGAAGGAACTACAGGGATATTCGTACACAAGCAGAGAACTTCTGGGAGGAAGGAGTTTTACGGGAGGGAAAGAGAGAGAGAGGAAGTGAAATTTGGGTTCCCCCGTAGTAAAGGAGGAATGGTGCGGTCAGACCGGAAGTGAGGTGTCGCGCTCCGAGGGACTTCCGGTGAAGGAGGAGCGGCCCTGAGGAGGGGAAGCGCAGCGGTGGAGGGGCGGGGGCCGGGTGAGTGGGG